CACAGTTGTCCCTGATGACTATCTATGGAGTGTGCAGTTGTCCCTGGTGTCTATCTGTGGAGTGTACAGTTGTCCCTGATGTCTATCTGTGGAGTGTACAGTTGTCTCTGATGTCTATCTATGGAGTGTACAGTTGTCCCTGATGTCTATCTATGGAGTGTACAGTTGTCCCTGATGTCTGTCTATGGAGTGTACAGTTGTCCCTGATGTCTATCTATGGAGTGTACCGTTGTCCCTGATGTCTATCTGTGGAGTGCACGGTTGTCCCTGATGACTATCTATGGAGTGAAGAGTTGTCCCTGATGTCAATCTATGGAGTGTACAGTTTTCCCTGATGACAATCTATGGAGTGTACAGTTGTCCCTGATGTCTGTCTATGGAGTGTACAGTTGTCCCTCATGACTATCTATGGAGTGTGCAGTTGTCCCTGGTGTCTATCTGTGGAGTGTACAGTTGTCCCTGATGTCTATCTGTGGAGTGTACAGTTGTCTCTGATGTCTATCTATGGAGTGTACAGTTGTCCCTGATGTCTATCTATGGAGTGTACAGTTGTCCCTGATGTCTGTCTATGGAGTGTACAGTTGTCCCTGATGTCTATCTATGGAGTGTACAGTTGTCCCTGATGTCTATCTATAGAGTTTACAGCTGTCCCTGATGTCTATCTATGGAGTGTACAGTTGTCCTTGATGTCAATCTATAGAGTTTACAGCTGTCCCTTGTGTCTATCTGTGGAGTGTACAGTTGTCCCTGATGTCTGTCTATGGAGTGTACAGTTCTCCCTGATGTCTGTCTATGGAGTGTACAGTTGTCCACCAAATATTGAAAATAAGAACAACGTTTCACATTGGCTTTAATTCATAACGCGTTGTATAATTAAATTGTTTCGGTTGAGATAGAGTAGTTTAGATTACTGAAACAATAATTTAGTAACCAATATTCGTCGGTGAAATCTGGATTACAGGAGTACAGTGGACCATAAACAATATTTATACGAATCATATCATATCTATGTCAACGGCTCTCCGTGATCTATATCCACCGCGGCAGAAGTAAGGAATTTTGTGGCCTGGTGCATTTCAATTAACTTGTTCTTTTAAGACTAGTCACGTTTTATTACAACTGGTAAAGAATTCTCGAGAATATTAACTGACGAGCTTGTTGGACAAGAAAGAGGACACAAATCCATACCAAAGCGAGTGTTCTGATCATGGATACTGTTGTTACATTAAGGAAGAACTTCTGGTAGATACCGAGGGAGGAGACCACTTATCATAGTTATTAGTATTGAAAATCATGATTACTAAGTAGTATTAAAAAAGTTCGTTACGAATTAATTTGAAGACGAAAATAAACTGCATGAACGCATTTGCTGTACATATTGGAAATGGCATATTTGGTTGAAATGATCACAAGCGACTGTTATTGACTTCATCAATCAATTTATTTGGAAACTCAAAATAAAATTACAATGATTATTGATACGAAAATGACAAAAAGTATATTGATAGTTCAAATGATAACGGTATATAATTTAGGTTTACTCATTCTCCCAATATCATGCTTCATGAGGATGTCATACTCTTCAATATTGTTTTATGCATACAGGTTGCATTGTCCGTCTCCAATTTGATGCAGGCATGTCTTCTGGAAATTTCAAGCTTCCGGTAAATGTTGAACTTCCGGTAAAACTTTTGCGCCTTTCCCAATTAACTTCCGAAACATTTTGCGAAGTCTGAATTTTTTTGGCTTACTCTTTCGCTGTCCTGACTGGTCAGATTTTCCGTTGGTCATCGTGGTCAATTTTGTTTAAGTACATATTGAGAAATGTAACAATCCGTCCCCAACTGAGGTATGTTTGTTCCAACTGTCCGCCATATTGGTAAAAAAACTAAGATTGCATTGATCCAGTCCCCGCTTTGCCTCGAAGAGTTCAACTGGACATCTACGTATATGTTTCACGTCTCCGCTACTGTCGTCCAGCAGATGTTCCGTCTTCACAGTCCGAACTCTCTGTGGTCCTTCCGTCATCATGATGCACATATATTCGCAAGCAAGAAGGAATGGCGTTATCACAAGCCGAGAGATTAGTATAAGTGATGCGTAACCAGGAAGTAATTACCTGTGACGTCATACCAATTATTTCGTCTGGCCAATTATGACGTCATCTGGAGGCTTAAATTTACGACGACTTTGAAGTTCGCCAGTTTTATTTTCTTTATCAGACAGGATGTAAAATCCCAGTGGTTTCATTTATCACACAGATTTTGAATGTAATTCATGAATTTTTGAATTGAAATATGATTCTTTTTTAATATTGATCACCTGACCAATCTTCGTATAACTGACGGCCGATGTGATATTAGGAATGGGGACATGAAAAAGTCGGGCCAAATATGATTTACTTATACCGTGATGATTACAGTTGTACATATGGGGAAAAAAAGATTATCAGGTTAGTGACAAAGTATCGCCACATTCTGTAGGATCATGACTATAACCGCCAGCTCCATCAGTTACACAATTATAGAATTGTAAAAGATTTATATTAAATTATTTTGTGAGGCAGTTGGAACACGTCCAAGAACGTCAGTCATTTAACGTGAATTAGAATTTAACAGGAGTTAAAAGCACCCGCCGTTCTGGTTTCAAATAACAGTATGACCGAAACTTGATAATACAGTTCTTGATAAGTTAAACTATTTTATCTAATTTATCTGAATGGCCTACAACCACGATGTTTAGCTTTTAGTTTTAAGAATACATATGAACTTTAAAATATTCAAAGTCACAAAAGTCGAATTTGTCCTCCACAATCCGATACACAAATAGTAAATAAACAAGGTTTAGCCATGGATATAATACACTGACTAGTTTATGAAGTGGCTTAAATTAACCGACTTTACAAACTTTGAATATGTGAAAAAAATTGAATACAAAGTGATCGAAGCAGGCCCATTTGATCTCTTGTTTACACTAATTGTAGACAGATGTGGATTACAGTTTGAAATTTTACTATGTATGTATTATAATCAACCAGAAATGCCTTGTTGACTTAAGAAGTTTTAGTCGATACCGAGTTTTCCAAAATGGTGAGCTTTCCATCTTTCGGGATTTATACACCACAAAAGAGGGTCAGTTTTGACTAAATGTTGACCTCGCTGTTTAGAAAAGTCAATTACACAGATCATGTAAAACAAAAGATCATGGGCTGCATACTCATACATGTAAAAACGTGTATATGTATACAGTCCAACCTTCATATCTCGAACTCATGATTAGAAAAAAAACCCGGTTAATTCCAACTACTTCGTCGATCCCCGCCAAAAAAAATCGATTAATTGGTTATCCCGAAGTTTTCCCATAGTTCCATCGACTTCGAGATAAGAAGGTTTGACTGTCCATGTAAATGAGCTAATAATAGACTATTTTTATCACTTTTCACTGCTGTTATCGATATTATTTAATCGTACTTATCGAAATTCAAAGCAAAACATAGATTTCCAGAACATTTATGATAAAACATTTTCCAAACCAGACTGTATTTTAGGCTACAGTGACTCTAGTTTTCATGTTATGTGTTCTCTGTTACTATGGAGGCCTAATGATGCCTTAGCTATACTTATTTACAGAAACGTTTCTCCTTAGGCGCTGCGATTTACAGGAATATAATGTCTCCTGGTATCTCTAGGTGTCAAAATTCATTCTGGAAAGAAACTTTCGCTTTATAGGCCTCAGTGTTTTATGATTCAGTCTACAGCCAGCTGGTTGAACCGACATGAAAAGTTCAAAGACAGGTGTTAAGGCCTTAAAGATTTATAGTAGAGGGACTCTAGACCTCAGAATTTTAAAGAAACATGGGCCTCATAGTGTTACAGAACTACCAAGGCTTTAGAATGTTACAAGAAAAATATCTCTATGCTAATGGATTCTCCAGGCCTGAAGATTTTACAGACATATTTCTAGGCCTCAAGGTTTTACAAAACATGTCTCATGGACTGATGGTTTCTCTTGTCCTGAAGATTGTACAAAACATGTCTCATGGACTGATGGTTTCTCTAGGCCTCAAGGTTGTACAAAAAACATATCTCATGGACTGATAGTTTCTCTTGGCCTCTTGGTTTTACAGAAACATGTCACTGTGTATCAGGATCTTCTGATATTTTTGTTTATTTCCCCCACCCCTTACCCCACCCCCAAAGAAAACTGTGAAAAAATACATAAAGACATTAAGGACATGAATATCTATAACTTTGATGGGAAAGACAATGTAGGTTTTCAGGATACATTAAAAATGTTTCTGTTTCCTATAAAAAACACTGAGCACTCTCAGATTTGGTTTTATTAATACCAATCTAGTAATCATACTTAGGCAACTAGTACCGCCAAACAGCAAACTCCTTCACATTACCAGTGATCAATCTGAAATCCATTTTCTCGGGTAAATTTCTCGGGTACTTTTCTCGGGTACTTTTCTCGGGTACTTTTTAATTTCATTACTGAAAAAACAATGAATCCCATAATGTAAAATGTAAATATTTTCAGAAATTTCTAGAAGTCCCATCAACTTTCTATGCATACAGGACTCAGGATGCCCATGTATAATTAACACTGCCTTACAGAAGGATCAATTAGGGGTTGACTGTTCCATGTGAAATTATCACTACAACTTTCCCACTACAATAAATATTTTGAATAACCAGTATAACAATTGTGAAGATTCACTTTCTATAAATATTTTCAAATCTCTGTTAAAATGTTTAGGTAGATTATCAGGGTAGATTATCAGTTATTTCAGAAAAATCTTCCTCTCTAACCCATTTTATCTGTGTCTGTGTATCCATTTGTGCTTGCCTCTCAGAAAAATCTCCCTCTCTAACCCATTTTATCTGTGTCTGTGTATCCATTTGTGCTTGCCTCTCAGAAAAATCTCCCTCTCTAACCCATTTTATCTGTGTCTGTGTATCCATTTGTGCTTGCCTTATAACTCAGCCAACACAGCATTTTGTTAAAAATTAAACTTTATTTAACACTATGAAGCAGATTTTTCAAACTTAAATTAATCGCTTTTGTTGGCAAAGATGGAATCCCACAAGGGATCTTAGTATAGGAAGAAACTGGAGTACCCAGAGTAAGCCCACATGGTCGGCAGGTGACCTCATACCTTTTCACTGCCATTCCCGAATCAAATGAACAGATTTTGTTTAAACACACACCAAAGCATCAACCCTCAAGATCGACACCTGATTAGATTCTGATAGTCGCTGGTCAAGGTTAAAGGTCACCCTTGACCATTTTTGAAATAAAAATCTTCTGTAAACAATATCTTATAAACGTTTTAATACATTAACCCCTCAATATGTTCAGATCAGAAAAAGAGTAGGAAAGGGTTATCTACATGAGTCCCTGCTCTATTTGTTTTTATATAAAAATCATTTTGATAATCTAGTTCAAAGGGCAGTATGTAATGATAATTTGTAGATGTAGATTTATAAATCTGAATACCATCATGTATTGTTACTATACTTTATATTTGTACGTTATACAGAAATCAAAGATTCTAGCTTGATTTTGGATCCCAAATATTAAGTATGTATACGTAATGTAGTTTAAATATTGAATACATATTGTTCAAACTGATCAATTTCTAAATAAAAAAAAACTTGATGACTTATCCTACTGCCATTCTATGTTAGTGGAACATGCTAACCCAGTAAACAAAACCAAACCGACCCCTGACTTTTATATATTATTTCATAGTCTGTTTGAAAAAAATAAAATGTTATTTTTAAAATTCAATTTTTAAATGAATTAGGTTCTATCTTTGCTTTCAAAATTCTTATTCTATATATCTCGCTGCAAACCTGAAATTGTTTTGTACTTATTTGTTTTACTTCAAGAAATGTATAAAGAAATAAAATGGATATTAATTTAAAACCCTTGCAGTATTTGAAATAAAACAAATATATGATCATAACTTGAGTAAAACCATACTGTTTAGTTTAAAGATTGGAAAAATTTATGAAGGTAAGATTTTTAATCACATTGATATATTTACTTATTTAGCAAGAGATTTTTATGGTGAATAGATAATATGACAACATTCAAGACTCCGCTGGAAACTCTCTGTCTGGCACAAGGACCTGACGTATGTTAAAATTGATTCGCGTCTGGCTGAGATACTTTGACATAAGGTTCCAATCATCACTGTGCAGTCTTTCTATAATTTGTCTGTGTGCTTTAGATTCACAACTGTCTGATGTACAGCTCTCCGAGTCTAATTTAGAAATATCTGATATGTCAAAACAGTTCCGATTCCTTTCTGGGTCTGTCTCCATTATTCTAGGAACAGCATGATACACAAGTCTGGCTGATGAACTCATGACACAGATGTCCCCACTCCGCAAGAACACAGCACTAGGTTCTGTCTCCTTTGTCTCTCCCCCAATTAGAAAGATGGCATCTTGACCAAAACTGATAACAGATAATCATGCTTGTACATTAGTTGTTCTTCATATAAAAATGCAATTTTTTTTATTGCAACTGCATGCAAGCATTTTAAAGCTCCAAAACTGTGAATAACCTCCTCTTAGACTGTTGACAAAAATACATACTTAAAAAGGTATTTATTTTTGTCAAAAGTCTAAGGGGAGATAATTTACAATTTTGGAGTGTTAAAATGCTTGCATGAAGTAGTCAGAAACATATTTTATTGAGATAAGTTTTTCATTACCATACATAATACATTGTATGGAAGATATACATATCAAAAGATAATCCTTCTGCTATTTTATCTAACAGGCATGCAACAAGAAAAAGAATCCTGTTCTCTTAAAACCACTAAGCCTTCAGTGTATATTTGACATAGAATTTGAAGTAATGCTACATGAGAAGACAGCATTTAGAGAGGCAAAATAATAAATCCAGATTTAGAGACAAAGAGATTGGAACTGAGCTTATCACAGGAAAATATTATATTTTTTGTCAACATTTCTACAGAAACAGTAAAATATGAGGGCATATCATCAGGCAGACTTATTGCTAAATTAATTTAGTAAAGCATACACTGTACAAGACACATTAAAATCCATTAAACAGAAGTATTGGTCAACTTTGTGTTACCTGAAAGATATAAGTGGAGCAGAATGGTCAAATTCTGAGTGGTCTGTATGGCCACTGAGAGATGAGTCAAGATGGTAGTAGTTTAGGACAGCTGCCTCTGGGGAGAACTTTGGGTAACCTATGGCACTAGCTACATGCCGGCCTAATCGTGACATGTCTTCTTGAAATGGAGCTTTGCTGTCTTTGTAGTATTTCTGAAGCCAAGAATGATTCAAATATATCCTGATAAATAAACAATGATAAACAATATATCCTGATAAATAAAGTGATAAACAATTTATCTTGATAAATAAACAATATATATATCCTGATAAATAAACAATGATAAACAATATATCCTGATAAATAAAGTGATAAACAATATATCCTGATAAATAAACAATGATAAACAATATATCCTGATAAATAAAGTGATAAACAATATATCCTAAAAAATAAACAATGATAAACAATATATCTTGATAAATAAACAATGATAAACAATATATCCTGATAAATAAACAGTGATAAACAATATATCCTGATAAATAAACACTGATAAACAATATATCCTCATAAATAAACAATGATAAACAATATATCCTGATAAATAAAGTGATAAACAATATATCCAAATAAATAAACAATGATAAATAATATATCCTGATAAATAAAGTGATAAACAATATATACTGATAAATAAACAATGATAAACAATATATCTTGATAAATAAACAATGATAAACAATATATCCTGATAAATAAACAATGATAAACAATATATCCTGATAAATAAACAGTGATAAACAATGTTGCACATACCAGTAAGCCACCTTGTGTAAAACAAGGTTGAAATACAAACTCAATTCACAAATACGAGTATATCTTATTCTAAGATCAAATACTCTCATCTCTCCACCTCAACATCTTATATTTTCTAACTTCATGACCTTTTTTAAATTCTGTTTTACATTTCTTTATATATTTTTTCTTTCTATTTTTTGTTTGTTTTCATATCTTTGATTGGTGTATAAGCAATTTTTCGACACTAAAAGAAAATAAATTTTGATTCTGAATACATTGGGATTCAAAGTATAGCTGTTTAGGTGAATATAAAAATAAAACCCTCAATCTGATGAGCAAGAATTAGTAAAGAGCAAGAATTATTTATAAAGAAAAAATTGCTTTAGTTCTCTTAAAGGGATATTCAGTAAAGATTTCATAAGAAGCTTTTAAAGAAAATTGTAGAAAATTGTCCACTTATGTCCTTGTGGAAATCTAATACCTCACTTTATCATTCAAATAAACATATGATATTTAATTTGCAGAAACTCTTTATAGATCTAGCTAGGTCTATTTACCAATGTTAGCATGACCCTGATTGCGTCATACCAGGTTTGTATTGTTATAAGCTGAACAGAATGAAAAATTTGTGTAAATTATGAATTCAACTTAAAATAAGCCTAACAAAGTCACAAAATTGGAACCCCAGGAGAAATTTTAGTGAACAGCATACACTGGTGTAATTACTCTGCATAAAATGTATGATCGAGTGATCCTTCAGTTCATTTCCTGATGTGCTATGTTTAGATGGTTTACTCTGTATTGACTGGGACTATTCCAACCAACAGAGCCTGTCCAAACTGCAGATATATTTTGATGCTAACAATAGGGTAAGAAGTCATTAGAATGAGGTCTTCAAAGGTAAATTTTACATACAGAACAGGAAGTTTGAAACTTGGGCAGAATATCCCTGTAAGATACTCAATACACAAAGAATTAGCAAGCAAAATGTTATGTTACTAAATTATCACTGAAGGGTCACAGAATTACTGACGTTTGTTTCCTGGAGATTGTCAACACAGATTAAAAACCTTTCTGATGGATAATTACTGGTAAAGTACACAACACAGACTACCATAGTTATATCCATACAAATATGAAAGATTTACATTTTTCTTATAAGTGGTTATCATACAAATTACTGAGTTATCTACCCCTGTTTCCAGGACCCAATGTTAAGTATTACAGAGATACAATTTTCAGATGGTTAATGATTTATTAACTGGTACCAACCTTTGTGCCCCAGTGGTAGTGGTATCCCATGGTTACCCAACGTAGCTTCATCATTAGACTCTCCTTGTTGGCAATGTCATCTCTGAGACAAAAATATTAAACCATACTGAGACTTAATTACTGACATGGTAAAATGATAGAAACACTGATCTTTTATCATAACATGGGTCTAAAATGAATTTAGATACAGTCCATCTCAATATTTCAGTCTGCTATAAAAATGAGAAGGTTAAAAAATGAATTATTCCAGTCCTGTCTTATCTTATTTCTCTGGCGTTAAATTTATGTCCTGTTATAAGCCCACCCCCTGAGTTTATGAGTTCCTGCTGTATAAATACAGTAGTGATATCAGCTGATTCTTAGATTTTTAAAATATTTTCAGTACGTTGGCATAATTCTTATCTCTGAAATTTGAGAAGAAAAATAGATTTGGATGACTAAGATAAGTCAGGTTGAAATGCCACCTATCACATTCACAAGCTCCTTTAGAAGTTGAGCAAGGAAATTTCTAAAATCCTTTCATGCCAAGAACCACAAGTGATAAAAAACCAGAATTGAGTAATACCAATTTAAGCTGTAGATGAACACGATACTCAAACATTTTTATCAGAAATCTTTGTTTTCGTTTTGTAGTACTTCAGATCCCAAAACCCATAATATCTTATCTCCATAAATTTATTCAGATAATTAATTGAAAATGCTAACTTATGTGTGTCTACAGATGAGTTCCAAATATTGACATCTCCTACATCCATGTAAGCATCTAGATTTCTGACATTGGGTCGGCATGGATAATCTTTAACACAGCGAGACACCCAGTACCTCTGGTATCCTTTCTCAAATGGGTTGACTATGAACAGGAAACCTAGAATAAAATTTCAAATTAAAAAACTGATATCAGGTATCTTATCATTGTTTTTTTTTTTTTGAGAATAAAAAATGACCTACTATATATATATATTTACTTACAGATATAAACAGTGCTATATGTGCAACCAATAACTGCCAATTTTTTGCTGTTTACATGTACAACTGGTAATACAGGGTTCGAAATTAACTATAGACAACTAGCAAAATTCCAGCTAAAATCTGGTAATTGCTAGCTGGAAAATAATGAACTAGCAAAAGTTTGCGAGTGGAAATGAACTATACCTAATCACTATTTTTGACGAAACATCTGCCACAAAATGCCTTTCTCCGTCTGCCTTTAAATGAGTAAATAGGTTACAAACGCTAAAGTGACATAGATTATCAATACATTCGGAATTGCTCCAGTTTTTCCATTGATAAATATGTGTAAACCGAATAAAAAGTTGTCTTGGAAAACTCTACGATTTCTGTCTGCTCATCATGTGAAACGCGACATATCAGCTATGATAACAAACTTTTTCAAAAGGAAAGCATCTGACAGTGCTTGCGATGACCAAGACAATAGTCAACAGCCACAGGCTGGCCCTTCTGAAAAAAAATCGTCGAAATCGGAGAGCGTTTATCCTGACGCTGCTGATATAAAATCACCGCCACAACAACGTGCATATACGGCCACGTTAAAAACCGGTACGGAAATGAGAAAAAGAATTGAATATTATTCTAGGATACAACAAATCATCTAGTAACGATGTTGTTAATACAGTATGGCGCAATGACTGCCGAGAACACGGAAGATAGTTGTCTTGATAATAATTTATTGAAATGATCGTTAATGTGAACAATTTTTAAATAATATAAATTTGGGTACAGTTACATTTATAAATGGATTTGATCATATGACAGTCAAATTAGATGTAGCTCATACATGAAAAAAAGAAAACTGATAAATTCAAAGTTATATAGATTTAAAATGTTGATACAAGTAGCAATCAGCCATTCTTATCCAATGTCTTGGATAACTTTTCCAATATCACTCAGTTCCTGAAAAACTCAATATAACAGTAAATAAAAGTCAAGCCTATTCACCAAAAAATTGCTAGTTTGTTCATCACTTTTGCTAGTGGAAATTTTAGGCACTAGCAATGGTTTGCTAGTGCCTAAAACAATTAATTTCGACCCCTGGTAATGTGATCCTCAAACATGATGAATGTATACCTACCTACTTTCTGTACTGAAGCTATATATAAGTCTGTCATTTTCTCATTACAAAATTAAGTACATTTATAAGTGACGCATATATCTTACAAGGAGCCTTCTTGTTGGAAAAGTACACAGGTATGTAATGGACATCATTAACTACACTTGTACTTTGTAAATCAATATACATGTACTTGGTATTTTGATATTCTAAAATGGGACCTGTGCATGACTACCTAACTATAATTACTGTGAAGATTGAAGAACCATAATTAACTTCTAATGCGTATGTATCACATTATCTGAAAGTTTTTACTTATTTCTTGCGTTTTGAAAATTTGCATTCAAGAAATTAAAACTAGGTAAATACATGTCCATGTGTACTGACACAATGAGGAACAAATCATTGTAGTTTCTTTTACCTGGGTTGGACTTAAGACAATATGCTTTCCATTTACAGACAGGCTTCAGACCTGTCAAGAGTGAATGATCTGGCTCTTTTAGTTTAAACTGTTCAACCTGAAAGAGAAATTCCAAATAAGTGAATAATGTATGATTATTACTATAAGTATGTTGTACATCTCCTACGCAGAAAACCATATCTACAGGGATTTTCTTTTAGATAATTTCATATTACAAACTGTGCTCATTAGAGTTATGTAGTCTGCGTTCCTTGTACACTGACCATTCTGATCTCCCACAGTCACTGCCTTTTCACTCTGTCTGTATAGCGATAAGCTTTAAAGCCGATGGGGGGGGGGGGGGGGGGGGGGGGGGGGGGCGTCGTCCAAGAATGATTTTCTAAGTTGGTTAACAAAAACTAAGTATAAAAATAAATATAATACAGGGAAACGTAACTGTCTCGTTCTTCATCAGGTTGGACACAAACTCGTCCACTGTACAAATATCTCTGCATATGATGGAATTATATCTACTGCTTTGTGTCATCAGTAAGTTACTCAAATGTAGGATCCTGTTAAAAAGGTGAAGTCTTTTCTATTTTTTGCAAATGTTTAAAAGGACACATATTTTTTTTATTTCAAATGACCCTGCATTATAGCACAGGAGTTTTAAAATGAATAATAGCAATAATAATGAATAAAATACAGTAAAGATCAATATATGATCTCAACTCTATTTTTTCAATGATTATCATTTGTTTTACAAACCCCTGTGTTTGGCCATCACCGATACTAGATAACATATATATATATGTGACCAGGGTAAGAGAACGGTAGTGGTAAACCACTGATAGTGACCAAGGTAAGAGAACAGTATGGGTAAACCACTGATAGTGACCAGGGTAAGAGAACGGTAGGGGTAAACAACTGATAGTGACAAGGGTAAGAGAACGGCAGGGGTAAACCACTGATAGTGACCACGGTAAGGGAACAGTAGGTGTAAACCACTGATAGTGACCAGGGTAAGAGAACGGCAGGGGTAAACCACTGATAGTGACCAGGGTAGGAGAACGGTAGAGGTAAACCACTGATAGTGACCAGGGTAGGAGAACGGTAGAGGTAAACCACTGATAGTGACCAGGGTAAGAGAACGGTAGGGGTAAACCACTGATAGTGACCAGGGTAGGAGAACGGAAGAGGTAAACCACTGATAGTGACAAGGGTAAGAGAACGGCAGGAGTAAACCACTGATAGTGACCAGGGTAAGAGAACGGCAGGGGTAAACCACTGATAGTGACCAGGGTAAGAGAACGGTAGGGGTAAACCACTGATAGTGACATGGGTAAGAGAACGGCAGGAGTAAACCACTGACAGTGACCAGGGTAAGAGAACGGCAGGGGTAAACCACTGATAGTGACCAGGGTAAAAGAACGGTAGTGGTAAACCACTGATAGTGACCAGGGTAAGTGAACGGTAGGTGTAAACCACTGATAGTGACAAGGGTAAGAGAACGGCAGGGGTTAACCACTGATAGTGACCAGGGTAAGAGAACGGTAGGTGTAAACCACTGATAGTGACCAGGGTAGGAGAACGGTAGGGGTAAACCACTGATAGTGACCAGGGTAAGAGAACGGTAGGGGTAAACCACTGATAGTGACCAGGGTAGGAGAACGGTAGAGGTAAACCACTGATAGTGACCAGGGTAAGAGTACGGTAGTGGTAAAACACTGACAGTGACCAGGGTAAGAGAACGGTAGGGGTAAACCACTGATAGTGACCAGGGTAAGAGAACAGTAGTGGTAAAACACTGATAGTGACCAGGGTAAGAGAACGGTAGGGGTAAACCACTGATAGTGACCTGGGTAGGAGAACAGTAGAGGTAAACCACTGATAGTGACCAGGGTAAGAGAACGGTAGTGGTAAAACACTGACAGTGACCAGGGTAAGAGAACGGTAGGGGTAAACCACTTACAGTGACCAGGGTAAGAGAACGGTAGGGGTAAACTACTGACAGTGAACAGGGTAAGAGAATGGTAGGGGTAAACCATGGACCAAAAAAGGAGTAGTAATGACGAAAAGGAGTTACCCCAACCCAACAGAATGATAATTCAGAACAGCTGATCACAACTTGCCATATGCAGATTATTTCCCTTGTCAAAATCAATAACGTCTGAAACATCCAGTGGGCGGTCTCTCCTTTTGTACTTCTTAAATATTGGTTTAAAATTGTCTATTTCATTTGGTCCAGTTTCCTCTTCGGTGTAAGTTGCCATAGTCTTAAACTTCTTTCAATATTTTCACAACGTTTAACAAGACTTTCTTAAACGTTGATGATCATGAAAAACGTTCACAAGATATAGCTATACACATAATAATATTTGAAACGGACAATTTACGGAATGCACACCTCCGGAATATTACCGCCAATACTGCGAATATGAAATCGAGATAATTGAAAATAAATTTTCCTCATTGGAATGTAGGACAATGGTAAGTAAACATAAATAAATAAATAATATTTATCATATTATAAGATATCTCATACTTAAGTCTATAATAGTTAAAACTACTTGCAGAAGATAATTTAATCAGTTTCCGATGAAAGATGAAAGGATGCTCGTTGATCGTGAGTAAGAACAGGAAGGTGTAATTATGCTTTACGTACCTGCTATGATAAATAATATATATATATATATATATATATATATATATATATATATATATATATATATAAACAATAACTCTTGTCTAACATAGCCAATAACCATTGCGACGTGAATAGATTATTGATTTGTAAATCATAATTTAACATAATGTAATGTTAATGATGAAGAGACCAATACATACATACATACAACATTGGTAAAAGTGTCTCTGTCTACTTGTATCTACGGGAGCAGTTTGACTGTCTGAAGGGTTGCTTGCCGTTCAGAAATGGTTATCATAAGAATTATGCTTGCTGTTCTTTTGGGTGAGTTTTTTATTGACTTTTTTTTTTTTTTTTGAGTTTTTTTTTTCAGTGAAATTCTTGTAATACTACATAAATCAAATTCTGATTTACAAATTTTTGTCTCAAAAGAAAATAATAGGAATATTTTTTCCTCCAAAACAGGTGATATATTAATTTCAGAAGTTGTCAGAATAAGATGAAACAAAAATGTTTTGTTAAAACCATTAAAAATTATATCTTAAATATTGACATGGCAGTGTCTTTAGAGGGTTCTCGGATTTGGTATGCATATACACAAAATGGAGACGACTGTGTCGGAGGTAAGAGGGGTTCCGAGTTACTTTTGATTCCGTTGTTGGTACAAGTATCACACAACCAAACGGGCGATATCATTATGGTGAAATGGTGACGTCAGTAATTCAATTTAGTTTCATAATAAAGATTGATGATGATAATGATTCATTGTGGTGATATAACTTATTTCCTTAATGTTACACTATAACGAATTTGTGATATCAATGATACCAATATAATGAATTTGTGATATCAACGTTACCACTATAATGAATTTTTGTTACCAATGATACCACTATAACAAATTTGTGATATCAACGTTACCACTATAACAAATTTGTGATATCAACGTTACCACTATAATGAATTTGTGATATCAACGTTACCACTATAACAAATTTGTGATATCAACGTTACCACTATAATGAATTTGTGATATCAACGTTACCACTATAATGAATTTGTGTTATCAATGTTATCACTATAATGAATTTGTGTTATCAATGTTATCACTATAATGAATTTGTGTTATCAATGTTATCACTATAGCAAATTGTAATAGAGTCTAATTGTTTAAATAACTTCGCATAAACTGAACACAAAGATAATTTGTGTCCCATAACTTAGCATTAAGTAAATCCATCACCGAGCTATCATCTTCACTAGTTTTTCTGTTATAGACAATATATACTCTGTCGGATTTTGAATGTCTGTTCTTTCAAATTAAGCCAATTATATTCTGCAATATTGCATGCACATTTCATTGAAATTCTAGCTAGTGAACAAAATACACGCGTTTTAAACACGGCAAACTGTTTCACGATGCGCTACACGTTTTGTAAAAAGTAAAAGTTTAAAAAAAGATCTATTCACTTATTCATTGCAATAAAAACAATGAGGACACATTGACAGAATGATTTTTGGGACAAGTCTTCTTTTTGATCAACCTGACACAAATACACGGTATAATGAAATGATATTGCCTGAACACTTCTCGTCCGAATGACACGTATATGTTTTTATACTGCTGTGAAATATGTTCGCTTGGTTTTCCAAAAGCTGGAGATTTTTTTCAATGACGTAGTTCTCTACAAATGATACATGTGGATCGATAAAAAAATGCACGTGTTGTGATAGCTGCGGCAGTTATGAAACATTAAGTTTCAATAGTAGACAACGAAACTGATATCACATCTTTTGTTTGACATCTGCCAGGTAGTCAATCTTTGTGTTTCTATGCAAAATTGTATTTAATCACAGACGAGTGAGTTTTTTCGTTTATAGTTCAGTTTATTGCCATTGCCATCGTTATGAACCTCTATACCGGTCTCGGTGATACCACCATGCTAATATTTATAAATATTCTCATTTGAGACATAGAGTTCGACTTGTAAATGAAATCAATTTATTTTCTGTCATACCCAAGTAACAATATGTATGTGCTAGGTGCTTTGTTAAATTAATGACTGATTTCCGGTTCGGTCGATCTAAAAGCTGGCCACATGAATCGGAGTCACCAGGGTTTTGATAAGGACCAGCTATATTAAGATAAAACCTGGAAAATGTACAAGAAAATGCAGAACACAAGATTAATTCAATGACTGGATTACTCCTTAATATGTGACCTTTTATAATCCTTAAGTTACACTGAACATCGAGATGATAATTTACCAAGTCAACACTATCAAGATGGTCTCATCGGATGTATTATTCATCTGAAATAATAGGTCGGGTGTTGGCGAGTAGTGATTTTTCTCGCAGCTTCTGCAGTTTATGTCTGTGTGCATTGGTTTTCTAAATTTGTATTCTTTGGCATGACGTGAAACTCTTCTCCCTCCTCCTCAACCTCCTCATTCCTAATTAGCCATATTTTTGCTGAGTCTAGATTGTTTACACCATGTCTCGTCAAATTTAATGAATTGATATCTTGAAGCGGATAAATATAATGTTTCAACACTTGTTTCCGTATCTGATTCTTTTGATATAATGAATGAATTAAATAAAGTTTATATCAAATATGTTCAATTGAATCCAACGATCTCGCTATACAAGAATTAATTTATTACAAAAATGTTTTGAGTCAAATGATAGTGACAACATCACGGTATCAGTATCTGGGGTCGAACGCGCGACCGGGGAACCCCATGTTTTAATGTATATCGCTAAAAAGGTAGCAACTTTTACGATCTGTAAATAAACAACATAGGACATATACCCAAGATTTTTTTTCTGGTTATTAGCATTTAAATATAACAGTCAGACAATTACATCTAAATAAAATAGAAGTAAATCCAATGTCCAACAGAGCTAGACAATAACAAACCATTAAAAAGGAAATATTCCAATCACAATTAGACAATTACAAACCATTAAAATGAAACATTTTAATCACATTTAGACAATTACAAATCATTAAAAAGGAAATATTCCAATCACATTTAGACAATTAACAACCATTAAAAAGGAAATATTCCAATCGCATTTAGACAATTACAAACCATTAAAAAGGAAATATTCCAATCACATTTAGACAATTACAAACCATTAAAAAGGAAATATTCCAATCACATTTAGACAATTAACAACCATTAAAAAGGAAACATTTTAATCACATTTAGACAATTAACAACCATTAAAAAGGAAATATTCCAATCACATTTAGACAATTACAAAGCATTGAAATGAAACATTTTAATCACATTTAGACAATTAACAAACCATTAAAAAGGAAATATTCCAATCACATTTAGACAATTAACAACCATTAAAAAGGAAACATTTTAATCACATTTAGACAATTACAAACCATTGAAATGAAACATTTTAATCACATTTAGACAATTACAAACCATTAAAAAGGAAATATTCCAATCACATTTAGACAATTAACAACCATTAAAAAGGAAATATTCCAATCACATTTAGACAATTACAAACCATTAAAAAGGAAATATTCCAATCACATTTAGACAATTACAAACCATTGAAATGAAACATTTTAATCACATTTAGACAATTACAAACCATTAAAAAGGAAATATTCTAATCACATTTAGACAATTACAAACAATTAAAAAGGAAATATTCCAATCACATTTAGACAATTAACAACCATTAAAAAGGAAATATTCCAATCACATTTAGACAATTAACAACCATTGAAATGAAACATTTTAATCACATTTAGACAATTACAAACCATTGAAATGAAACATTTTAATCACATTTAGACAATTACAAACCATTAAAAAGGAAATATTCCAATCACATTTAGAAAATTACAAACCATTGAAATGAAACATTTTAATCACATTTATTAAAAAGGAAATATTCCAATCACATTTAGACAATTAACAACCATTAAAAAGGAAATATTCCAATCACATTTAGACAATTACAAACCATTGAAATGAAACATTTTAATCACATTTACAATTACAAACCATTAAAAAGGAAATATTCCAATCACATTTAGACAATTACAAACCATTAAAAAGGAAATATTCCAATCACATTTAGACAATTAACAACCATTAAAAAGGAAATATTCCAATCACAATTAGACAATTACAAACCATTAAAATGAAACATTTTAATCACATTTAGACAATTACAAACCATTGAAATGAAACATTTTAAACACATTTAGACAATTACAAACAATTAAAAAGGAAATATTCCAATCACAATTAGACAATTACAAACCATTAAAAAGGAAATATTCTAATCACATTTAGACAATTAACAACCATTAAAAAGGAAATATTCCAATCACATTTAGACAATTACAAACCATTAAAAAGGAAATATTGTTGATCATGAGATTAAGTGGTGTTTTGGTCTCCCCTACATATTGCAAATGACACTTGGCACACGTATTCAAGTATATCACATTGGCTGATGCACAGGTTACTGACTTGATGATGTGGTAGTTCTGGCCGTTGGCTCCATATACAGACCAAGCTTGCACCTCTTACTGTAACATGTTTTGAAGCAGTCAGTTGTAGTAGTGTAGAAGGTTGTTGGTAGCTTAACGCTCAGATCTTTAATATGTTTTGGTCTGCGATAAGCTAATATTCCAGAAAATGTTCTGAAGTTGACAGGACGTCAGTAGGATTTGCCAGTGTTTCTGGAATATCGTTGACAATGGTGACATGCTGGGTTGAAAGATCACCACACAAGGTACTCTCCCTGGGAGAACTTGGTGTCCATGTGTACTGGCTCTGTTTAGTTCTTTAACTCTATCGATTTTGCTGCCTTTTCCTTGTTTAGTAGACCAAATGAGTGGTTTCGAGGGGGCTGCTGCAAGAAGCCTACACCCAAGGTGGCCCAAATATAGTTTCATGTGATCTTGTTAACCATGGCAGTTCCACTGATATAGATAGGTAATACGCCCTATTTATCATATCGCACACCATTTAGGTAACTGTATATTTCGAATTCAACAAATTTCATTAACGTTTCATGATTAATAGGAGGTGTTCAACATACACTTGACATAGATCTGAATTCCTTCATGTTCAACTTACACCTGGCATACATCTGAATTCCTTCATGTTCACTTTACACCTGACATACAGCTGAATTTCTTCATGTTCACTTTACACCTGACATACAGCTGAATTCCGTCATGTTCAACTTACACCTGACATACATCTGAATTCCTTCATGTTCAACTTACACCTGGCATACAGCTGAATTCCTTCATGTTCACTTTACACCTGACATACAGCTGAATTCCGTCATGTTCAACTTACACCTGACATACATCTGAATTCCTTCATGTTCAACTTACACCTGGCATACAGCTGAATTCCTTCATGTTCAACTTACACCTGGCATACAGCTGAATTCCTTCATGTTCAACTTACACCTGACATACATCTTAATTCCTTCATGTTCAACTTACACCTGACATACATCTGAATTCCTTCATGTTCAACTTGCACCTGGCATACATCTTAATTCCTTCATTTTCAACTTACACCTGACATACAGCTGAATTCCTTCATGTTCAACTTGCACCAGCATAGATCTGAATTCCTTCATTTTCAACTTACACCTGACATACAGCTGAATTCCTTCATATTCATCTTGCACCAGCATACATCTGAATTCCTTCATGTTCAACTTGCACCTGACATACAGCTGAATTCCTTCATGTTCAACTTGCACCAGCATAGATCTGAATTCCTTCATTTTCAACTTACACCTGACATACAGCTGAATTCCTTCATATTCATCTTGCACCAGCATACATCTGAATTCCTTCATGTTCAACTTGCACCTGACATACAGCTGAATTCCTTCATGTTCAATTTACACCTGATATACATCTGAATTCGGTCATGTTTATCTTGCTTATCAATGCTGTTGCTAATACAGTCGATTCGTATATATTTTTGGTAGAGTCCTAACATTTCCTTTATGAATTCGAATGAATTAGAGAACGTCTTGAACGTCAAGATGTTCCCTGTTAGACAAGACGTTCTTTGTTAGACAAGGCGTTCTCTGTTAGACAAGGCGTTCTGTATTAGCCAAGACGTTATCTGTAAACAAAAGTTCTCTGTTAGACAAGACGTTTTCTGTTAGACAAGGTGTTCTCTATTAGACAAGGCTCTCTTTGTTAGACAAGGCGTTCTCTGTAAGGCGTTCTCTGTTAGACAAGATGTTCTCTGTTAGACAAGACGTTTTCTGTTAGACAAGATGTTCTCTGTTAGACAAGGTGTTTTCTATTAGACAAGGCTCTCTGTGGTAGACAAGGCGTTCTCTGTTAGACAAGGCGTTCTCTGTTAGACAAGATGTTCTCTGTTAGACAAGACGTTCTCTGTTAAAAAAGACGTTTTCTGTTAGACAAGACGTTTTCTGTTAGACAAGATGTTCTCCGTTAGACAAGGCTCTCTGTGTTAGACAAGGCGGTCTCTGTTAGACAAGGTGTTCTCTGTTAGACAAGACGTTTTCTGTTAGACAAGGCATTCTTTGTTAGACAAAACGTTCTCTGTCAGAGAACTTCTTGTCTTGTCTAACAGATACCGTCCTGTCTAACAGAGACCGTCTTGTCTAACAGAGAACGTCTTGTCTAACAGAGACCGTCTTGTCTAAAAGAGACCGTCCTGTCTAACAGAAAACGTCTTTTTTTTAACAGAGAACGTCTTGTCTAACAGAGAACGTCTTGTCTAACAGAGACCGTCCTGTCTAACAGAAAACGTCTTTTTTTAACAGAGAACGTCTTGTCTAACAGAGAACGTCTTGTCTAACAGAGAACGTCTTGTCTAACAGAGAACGTCTTGTCTAACAGAGAACATCTTGAACCAAGAAAGAATCGATCGTAAAAAAGAAAGGTTATTGTTATAGATATTTTCTTTGGTCGTTATAGTCTCACGATCACTACATCGATACTGTAAGTATCTAGGATAGCTGTTATTAGCACTAGTATGGAAACTGGTTTACTGTCAATATAATTATCAAAGGTATCCTGTTAATAAAAAAATAAACTTCACCAATAAAGAACCAACTTATTAACAAATAGATTTCACCAATTAAGAGTCGACTTTTTAAAATCGACAAGGTGCTGACTGTATAACAGAAAGGCCTTCACCAACAAAGAACTGACTATATAGCAAAAAGGCTTTCACCATCAAGGGACTGACTGTATAACAAAGAGTTCATAAGTTGCTAGAACTTGTCTCTGATCCATTTATCTAATACTGATAATATAAAATATGTTTAAATCAACAAAGAGGCTTTCACCAACAAGGAGCTGACTGTATAACAAAGAGGATTTCACCAACAAGGTACTGACTGTATAACAAAGAGGCTTTCACCAACAAGGTACTTACTGTATAACAAAGAGGCTTTCACCAACAAGGTACTGACTATATAACAAAGAGGCCTTCACCAACAAGGTACTAACTGTATAACAAAGAGGCTTTCACCAACAAGGAGCTGACTGTATAACAAAGAGGCTTTCACGAACAAGGTACTTACTGTATAACAAAGAGGCTTTCACCAACAAGGTACTCACTGTATAACAGAGATGCTTTCACCAACAAGGAGCTGACTGTATAACAAAGAGGCTTTCACCCAACAAGGTACAGACTGCATAACAAAGAGGCCTTCACCTACAAGGTACTGACTGTATAACAAAGAGGCTTTCACCAACAAGGTACTTTTTGTGTAAGAAAGAGGCCTTCACCAACAAGGAGCTGAATGTATATCGGATGTTTATTTAATTTCTGCCTAGTTTGGAAATCAAAACCAAAATGAAGGAACGTCTGCGATCCACAGAACTGTCGATAAAACATACAGCTTATAGTATATGCCCTAAACGTCGCATGTTACTTGTCAGTTTATCAGATAATTCATTCACACGTACGAATGATATGTTTCATAAGAACACATATTCATTTAGTGACATAAGTCCGATATATACATGTTTTTGTATATCGATACATAGTGTAACTTTAAATATTTCATCACTTTTCAGAGGCTATTGATTTTGTCCAATAAGGATAGAATATATTGTCACTGGTTGGACTAATCTAACGATTTAATTATTAAACTAAAGGGAAATATTCTACTTGAGCGGCTGGTTATTCTAATGCCTCGTTGTTATCTCCGCTCTGAACCATTGAGAGAGAACAAGATTCGCTTTATTGATACTGTGGTTCAGCAAGTGTTTGCTACTTTGTTACTATCCCTGTTATTGTAAGAACTAAGAATGTTTGATTGTTAATTGATGTGACATCGATCGTCCATCAGAAGACACTTATTCATTTATGTTTTAGTCTAGTCCTTCATGAATGTAAATTAATGATTTTCGTTATGTTTTTGATAAATGAATTTTGTGCTGTATTTACGTTGTTTTTTTTTTGGTTGTTTCTTATTAGGTTTTTTGTTGGGGTTTTTTTTGTCGTTTTTTTTTCTGTTTCTTTCATGCATTGTCTTTTACACCGAAACTGAAGTAAACACAAAACGTAAGATAAAGTAAAACGTTTGAATCCTTGATTCAAATTGGTGTTGTTTGCTTTGTTGTAGGTGGATGTACACTTGTGTACACATCCCGTGAACCCGCCCTAGTGACTACATCAGGTAGGTGAAACCAAGAAGCATGAAAATAAACTACATTTATATTTCAATCTTATTGATCTGTGTTAAAAAAATATCTCCATGTTACAGCGTTCCACTTCCGGATGCCGTTTTACTTAATTCTAATTATGCATTTAGGAATAGTATACAACATTTATACTTTTTTTACTTTGGAAATTTTTGCTTTTGTGTTATTTAAGACTGGACTCTGGTCATGAAATTTGCCACAGGACAAGATCTTGGAGGAGCAAACAGCGTGTACGATCTTTGGACAGGTACATTCACAGTTAACGAAGGAGATGAGCTGGCCATGTCTATAGAAACAGGAAGTAAGACTTACAAGTCGTCAATAGTTGACAAATGGGCTGACTACAACATCAGTGCAGTAAGCTTTTTACAGTACTATATACGGATAATAATTCTCATACGGTCATTTTTTGTCCCTCCATAAAATATTTGTCTTCAGCCACACAACTTCACTATAAATGCATATATTCGGTGAAATATGTATTATAATAATATCATATTTATTTTTAACACCATACTTCAAGCGCTGTTATATGTTTGCTTTACTGACAAGTGGTCAATATGAGAGAAATTACTGGTGGGAAATGTATCACGTCTGCTAGTAGATATACATTCAGCCAGTTATCTAAGATTTCACATTAAAAAACTTACTAACGAAAAATAAAAGATAAGTAATGATACAATACACTTGTCAAAATTTCCACGATTTGTTCAAACTTGTTCTAAAAATAGCCCTATATCAACAAAAGATTTAAACGAAAACATGTTCCTTCAACATATCAAATCAACCAATGACTTTGATCTCCGCCTTGCGTACTTTATTTTCAATTAAGAGTTATTCATCCTGAGCTTCATCCTGGTATTCACTTACTGGTCTCAAGATATTTCAAATTCTGCCAAAGTTAGTATACCACTGAGCGTAACTTCCAAAATATTGCACAAACAGAGATCTACCACGAAAGTGATGATCATCCTTTCATACCAATTCTATAAATAAATTATTGCTTGTTTTTGTTTTTGTTTCTGTTTTGTTATTAGTCCCAAAAATCAAAAGGACACAACTAAGGACTGACTGAAATTCGAACAAGTACTACAGAAAAAACGATGACAAATTTCCATTGTTAAAATCCAAGATGGTCGTCTGTTGGCCATTTTCCCTCACATCATACGAGAAATTGAGATGCACAACAAGGGAGTTAATATACATTTACGTGATATATTCAAAATCATTAGAAATTGAAAATTGTAAAATATTAAACTTTTTTGAGTCTCCATAAATTGATATCATATACATGTTTCGCTTCAACACCACTTACGATCTAAATTGTGCTCATTTACCCATTACAACATCGTTGGTATCCCATGATCCTTCACCGATAAGCGATAGTGAGATAGTACAATCGAACGTCACTTTTCAAAGGAACATATCTCGTCAATAAAATCAGCCCATCCCCCTATATGAACATCGACTTTAGGAAAAAACATCATATTTCATGGTAATTGTAGGCAATTGTCAAGTGGCAACAGAATAAATAGTTAAACTTAAAATATTTAGTATGATTTTTAGAACCACCAATTACACTCCAGGCTTGTTATAAGAAACATGAAAATGGACAGCACGAGTTTTTATTTGTTTACTTACAACCCTGTTATATGACTGACGCAGGCATGCTTTCTTCCTATTTTAGATTTAAAAAATGATTGTGCAAAGACTTTTTTAAAATTCATAATTAACAGAACGTTAAACTTTAGGCAACTTTTTCAAGTGATAACACTTATTCGTGAAAATCTAACCATTGAGACCCTTTTAAAATTCTGTTCTATAGGTTCGCGTCTCGTTTGTGAATGATGGCCAGGAGAAAGCATATGTCGTATTTGATGGTCGCGATTCTGATAAGAAAAGCTGGTTCTCTAAATCCAGGATTCTGTCTTCATCATGGGAGGACCTTAATACACACTCGATCACAAACTATGATTCCATTGATGGGTAGGTATCGACTAATTACTGTAAATAACTTATATTTCGCGTGGGATTTATTTGCGTGTTAAAATGCAAGGAGCGTCAATCGAGAATTCAAACTTTTCGCAAAAATAACTGTGGGTGGCATCCTTGATGAGTTGGCTACCAATAATTTGGTCTTGAAGAGTCCATGCCTCTAAACAGATCATCATTCGCGAATTTAAATTTATACATAGATCAGTATTGGCGAAATTATATAATCGCGAAGATGTCTGAAGAGGTAAGTTCGCGAAAAAAGAATTCGCGAAAACTAAGTGATTTACAGTAATCTTATGTAACATATGCTAGATTACACCGCTGCATGAGATAATGACTTATCTTTAATACTTTCAATGAAAGACATTACACACACACAGAAATTACGTTATTCCTTCAATAATATCTCCTGTGAAATAATTTCAATTAACTACGTCACATTGCTGTACTGCTTATTCTAAACAATAATTTCCGAAGTGTTCCGATTTAAAATAGAAAAGTTTTAAAGTAATTAACTTAAGCTATGAATTAGCTTAATCAAAATATATTGTGTATATCAGATCAATAATTTGTATGTATCACATCAATATATTGTATGTATCACATCAATATATTGTATATATTACATCAATATATTGTATGTATCACATCAATATAATATCTTGTATATATTACATCAATATATTGTATGTATCACATCAATATATTGTATGTATCACATTAATATATTGTATGTATCATATCAATATATTGTATGTATCACATCAATATCAATATATTGTATGTATCACATCAATATATTGTATGTATCACACCAATATATTGTATGTATCACACCAATATATTATATGTATCACATCAATATCAATATATTGTTTCACATTCAGTGTCCCTTCTGTGCGACGTCACTTCTACATGCATCATCGGTTTGCAAAATGTAAGCATGACATTGGTTGGTTTGTGTTGACGGAGTGGACGGATGTGCTAGCTACTAGTTGTAGTTATGATGAGTCATTTAAAATTCTGTACAGCGATGAAACTGGGAAGGAAAAAACAATAGGTAATGAAGGATACAGAGTGAAACTTTTTAACATTAGTTTTGTACCTGTATTTCTTAACAATAAAGCTAACCCACGATCCGGCCATTATCTAGTGCATTATCCCGACGGTGTAATGTTGTTACATTTAATATGCAGAACGTTATCAGATTAATATTTGATATCTAAATGTTGCTATTTAGCATATATCGGGATATTTTTGCACTGTGTTTTTTTTCCGAAAAAACCCCAAAATGTACATTTTGCAATTTCTGCTTGTTTGATATTTTGTGGTTTCTTTGTCTCGGAAATTTGGAATTTCTAAATGGAAGACTTTAAATATTTTAGAATGGACATTAGTGTACACTCTAACATCAACTGACCAATCGAACTAGATATAAGATATGTATACCGGGTAGTATTTATTTATCACAAAAGTGTTCACAACTAGAAAGTTTTCTGTACATGTAGGTTCATCAGCTCTTTATATAAATTACTCGTGCATTTACAATAAAACGAAGAAAACAAGCAATATTTTTACGATTTTGAAAGGTTCGTTAAATTCGCAAAAAGTATACCCCGAAGATCATCAACAAACAAGACAATTTCCAATTATTAACACTTGCTTTTAGTTAGCTCTGAAAAACGTCGAAAAATTACTATCTTTAAGAAAAAAGAAAACTACAAACACGACATTCCTTGCTATATACATATACGTCTCTGATGCATGTCACAAATGTAATATAACCTTGTTACATACATGTAGGTCTCTGATACATGTCACAAATGTAATATAACCTTGTTATATACATGTACGTCTCTGATGCATGTCACAAATGTAATATAACCTTGTTACATACATGTACGTCTCTGATGCATGTCACAAATGTAATATAACCTTGTTACATACATGTACGTCTCTGATACATGTCACAAATGTAATATAACCTTGTTACATACATGTACGTCTCTGATGCATGTCACAAATGTAATATAACCTTGTTACATACATGTACGTCTCTGATACATGTCACAAATGTAATATAACCTTGTTACATACATGTAGGTCTCTGATACGTGTCACAAATGTAATATAACCTTGTTACACACATGTACGTCTCTGATACGTGTCACAAATGTAATATAACCTTGTTATATACATGTACGTCTCTGATGCATGTCACAAATGTAATATAACCTTGTTATATACATGTAGGTCTCTGATACATGTCACAAATGTAATATAACCTTGTTACACACATGTAGGTCTCTGATGCATGTCACAAATGTAATATAACCTTGTTATATACATGTACGTCTCTGATACATGTCACAAATGTAATATAACCTTGTTACATGTACATGTACATGTACGTCTCTGGTCAAATGTAATATAACCTTGTTACATGTAGGTCTCTGATACGTGTCACAAATGTAATATAACCTTGTTACACACATGTACGTCTCTGATACGTGTCACAAATGTAATATAACCTTGTTATATACATGTACGTCTCTGATACGTGTCACAAATGTAATATAACCTTGAGTATCTTTTATTGGCTGTGAAAGTCAGAAATCGATTGTGATGTCATAATATGTCGATATGAAAATATTTAATGTTTCACCCTCTTTTTCTCATTAAGTAACGTTATCAGTACATTGTCGGTCAAAGACCAATGGTTTAATTCCTACAATGATTTTTATATCACACACACACACGAGTACATATAAATGTTTAATGAATAAGATTATTAGTAAACGTTAAATCACCCAAAGTATTTATAAGAAATATTTTGTAACACTTCTTTTACCACTACAAGTCAGAAAATGTTTGTCCAGACAAAGTGCATTTGGCAACACATATAGGAAAAGAGGCAACTCTGCTTATTGTATCATTTTTCCAGGCATTGAAGAGCTACTCTCGGGAACATTCCGCGAGCGTTGCAGTTATAAACAAGTATGTATTCTAAATATGATTTACTGCGTTGATATAATTTCTATTACAGATCAAGCGACAGCGGATGTTTTTGCGATCTGGGTTTGTAAGTCAATTTACATCTATATATGTAGCTGTGTGCCTAATCTTTGTGGTGTGGTATGAATATATATATATATATCCGAAATCTGTCTCTTTCCGATTTTGAACTTGGCGTTGACTAGCATAAGTTGGAGATTTCTTGCTCTAACTATGTTTTGGGAATTTGGATTCGATTTTGCTTTGATCTAAATTAATATGGCTGATGTCGTTGATCAAGCAAAAGACGCTTACCCTGGCGGATCATTTGGTCCAATTATATTTTACATATACACTCCCAAAGCTCTTGTAAGTTTTTCCCTTTTATCAGTTGCCCCTAACACTAAAACTTTTCAGCATTGCTAAGTCCTACCAGAAAGAAACAGCTTTCATTTATTTTTGATCAAAACTGTATCATATTCCAAATTTATATTGAAAGGTGATATTCACTTATGTGTGATTTTCAAATAGTTCCTCGAGTATAAAGAATGATTGTATTGGCATATCGTTTCCCAGATACGAACTCCTGCCTGCCATCTGATTGTAAAAATGGGGCTATCTGCAAATATAAGTGTATATGCAAAGGAGACTACTTTGGAACTCACTGCGAAAATTGTAAGTATTGCAAAATCAGATAAACTTAGTACGGTGAATGTTTTATTACGTTGTATGAAACTGCTTTTTCATAATCTGCTTTAACTTCATGCTTTTATGATGATGATGATGATGTTTGCATCTTTTGAAGTAAATGGTGGATTTTCCGAATGGGGTTCATATGGAAGTTGTTCAAGAACATGCGGAACCGGAAGTAAGACCAGAACGAGGGCATGTGATGACCCGACACCTGTTGGGACCGGATCTGATTGTTCTGGAAACACATCAGAGACCATTCCATGTAGTACTGACCCTTGTCCAAGTATGTTGATTTTTTTTGCATCCATTACTACTCTCTTTCAATAAAAGGGACTCCTGGCCGGTCGTTACCAGTCTCCATGGCGTGCTTGGTTACGGCGGAAGTGTCTTTTTCTTTGTGTCTCTGCCATGCTCTTTAATGTGTGTGATCTCGCAGATTTTTTAAAGTACTACCTGAGAAAGGTGTCATACGGATTCTTGTATAATACTTTAAAAAATTGTCCTTTTTCTATGTTTGTCTATGGGGAAAACAGGAAAATACCAACATGGTAACACAATCATTATCCAAACTCAAACTCAACAAAACCAGGGCGTAATATGAACAAAATAAAGATGTTTACGGGATTCCTGAAAAAGTGCAAGGATAATAAAACCAGGTTTCCCGGAAGAGTAAGCGATTTCAGCTTCATTGATGACACCCGCCATGTAAATCTTAATCAAGTAAATATCAGGAAAAAGATGAATAATAGATAAATGTCAGGAAATAGATAAATGTCAGGAAATAGATAAATGTCAAGAAATCAATAAATGTCAGGAAATAGATAAATGTCAGGAAATAGATAAATGTCAGGAAATCAATACATGTCAGGAAATAGATAAATGTCAGGAAATCAATTAATGTCAGGAAATAGATAAATGTCAAGAAATCAATAAATGTCAGGAAATAGATAAATGTCAGGAAATAGATAAATGTCAAGAAATCAATGAATGTCAGGAAATAGATAAATGTCAAGAAATCAATTAATGTCAGGAAATAGATAAATGTCAAGAAATCAATAAATGTCAGGAAATAGATAAATGTCAAGAAATCAATAAATGTCAGGAAATAGATAAATATCAGGAAATCAATAAATGTCAGGAAATAGATAAATGTCAAGAAATCAATAAATGTCAGGAAATAGATAAATGTCAGGAAATCAGTTAATGTCAGGAAATAGATAAATGTCAGGAAATAGATAAATGTCAGGAAATCAATAAATGTCAGGAAATAGATAAATGTCAAGAAATCAATAAATGTCAGGAAATAGATAAATGTCAGGAAATAGATAAATGTCAAGAAATCAATAAATGTCAGGAAATAGAAAAATGTCAGGAAAAGATAAATGTCAGGAAATCAATTAATGTCAGGAAAAGATAAATGTCAGGAAATCAATAAATGTCAGGAAATCAATTAATGTCAGGAAAAGATAAATGTCAGGAAATCAATAAATGTCAGGAAATCAATTAATGTCAGGAAATCAATTAATGTCAGGAAAAGATAAATGTCAGGAAATCAATAAATGTCAGGAAATCAATTAATGTCAGGAAATAGATAAATGTCAGGAAATAGATAAATGTCAGGAAATCAATTAATATCAGGAAATAGATAAATGTCAGGAAATAGATAAATGTCAGGAAATCAAAAAATGTCAGCAAGTAGATAAATGTCAGGAAATCAAAAAATGTCAGGAAATAGATAAATGTCAGGAAATCAATTAATGTCAGGAAATCAAAAAATGTCAGGAAATCAATAAATGTCAGCAAGTAGATAAATGTCAGGAAATAGATGAATGTCAGGAAATAGATAAATATCAGGAAATAGATAAATGTCAGGAAATCATAAAATGTCAGCAAGTAGATAAATGTCAGGAAATCAAAAAATGTCAGGAAATCAATAAATGTCAGGAAATAGATAAATGTCAGGAAATAGATAAATGTCAGGAAATAGATAAATGTCAGGAAATAGATAAATGTCAGGAAATAGATAAATGTCAGGAAATCAATTAATGTCAGGAAATAGATAAATGTCAGGAAATCAATAAAGGTAAGGAAATAAATAAATATCAGGAAATAGATAAATATCAGGAAATCAATTAATGTCAGGAAATCAATAAATGTCAGGAAATCAATTAATATCAGGAAATAGATAAATATCAGGAAATAGATAAATATCAGGAAATAGATAAATGTCAGGAAATCAAAAAATGTCAGCAAGTAGATAAATGTCAGGAAATAGATGAATGTCAGGAAATAGATAAATATCAGGAAATAGATAAATGTCAGGAAATCAAAAAATGTCAGCAAGTAGATAAATGTCAGGAAATCAAAAAATGTCAGGGAATCAATAAATGTCAGGAAATAGATAAATGTCAGGAAATTGATAAATGTCAGGAAATCAATAAATGTCAGGAAATAGATAAATGTCAGGAAATTGATAAATGTCAGGAAATAGATAAATGTCAGGAAATCAATTAATGTCAGGAAATAGATAAATGTCAGGAAATAGATAAATGTCAGGAAATCAATTAATGTCAGGAAATAGATAAATGTCAGGAAATAGATAAATGTCACGAAATCAATTAAATTCAGGAAATAGATAAATGTCAGGAAATAGATAAATGTCAAGAAATCAATTAATGTCAGGAAATAGATAAAATGTCAGGAAATCAATTAATGTCAGGAAATAGATAAATGTCAGGAAATCAATAAAGGTAAGGAAATAAATAAATATCAGGAAATAGATAAATATCAGGAAATAGATAAATGTCAGGAAATCAATTAATGTCAGGAAATAATAAATGTCATAATTAATGTCAGGAAATAGATAAATATCAGGAAATAGATAAATATCAGGAAATAGATAAATGTCAGGAAATAGATAAATGTCAGGAAATCAAAAAATGTCAGTAAATCAATAAATGTCAGGAAATCAATTAATGTCAGGAAATAGATAAATGTCAGGAAATAGATAAATATCAGGAAATAGGTAAATGTCAGGAAATCAATTAATGTCAGGAAATAGATAAATGTCAGGAAATCAATTAATGTCAGGAAATAGATAAATGTCAGGAAATAGATAAATGTCAGGAAATAGATAAATCTCAGGAAATAGATAAATGTCAGGAAATCAATTAATGTCAGGAAATAGATAAATGTCAGGAAATAGATAAATATCAGGAAATAGATAAATGTCAGGAAATCAATTAATGTCAGAAAATAGATAAATGTCAGGAAATCAATTAATGTCAGGAAATAGATAAATGTCAGGAAATAGATAAATATCAGGAAATAGATAAATGTCAGGAAATAGATAAATGTCAGGAAATCAATTAATGTCAGGAAATAGATAAATGTCAGGAAATCAATTAATGTCAGGAAATAGATAAATGTCAGGAAATCAATAAAGGTAAGGAAATAAATAAATATCAGGAAATAGATAAATATCAGGAAATAGATAAATGTCTGAAAATGAATTAATGTCAGGAAATCAATAAATGTCAGGAAATAAATAACTGTCAGGGAATATATAATTGTCAGGAAACATTATCTAAATGGATTGTGTGTTGTTATTTCAGTTCTCTGTCCAAACGCTTCTACGTCCTTCCGAAATAACATGACCAACATGACGTCAGAGGAACTTATGAAAGTCATCGATATGCTCAAAGCAGAACTGAAAGTTGACAAAACAAAAACAAGCCGTAAGTACAGGAATTCATATTTTTAAAAAATATCGCGTATATATATAAACAAAACAAAACAAAAAACAAAACAAAAACAACATTAGATACCAATATGTCACCGGAACCTTACTTCAAATTCCGACAAAACTGGTCAACTCATGAACAACAGAAACATTTACACAGAGACCCATAAAAACTATATTCGAGTAGTGTTTATATGTCAGCGCATAACAGCTCATTTAAGCCTCATTTTCATGCTTGTGTTAAATCATCTACAACGCACGTGACAGTATCAGTAGCCTATACTTTATGTTTTGTTTGAACAGTGAGTGTACGTCGGAAGACGAGTGCCAAAGACTCGCGGACATCGGCAAAGACGATTGGGGCTGTGGGAGCTGTGATGTTGGCTGTTCCATTCGTCTTAATCATCCTGTTAGATTTGAATAGTTTATATCAATATCGAAGTCAGAAATCTGCAAAGAGACAAATATCACCTCAAATATAAAAAGGACACCCTGCAAGCACCCCGTCTCTCTCTCACACAAGGCATAAAACTTTCGGCGTGTACATACTGTCCACACACAATAATCATGTCACAATCAGGCTGGAATTCTGATTTTAAAAGATAATAGCAAATAAAGAAATACTGTTAAAAATATTTTTGTGGGGCTAAATTTTCCTTTTTTGAATTTCTGTTTCGTGGACACTTGAATTTGTAGATAAGTATAGCTAAGAATATGCTCACACTGATAACAACAGGTCGTAGAAATGTGAATTCGGTCTTTAAGATTGCCCACGAAATGAACGAAAATAATACATCAGCAAAAATTAATGATTTCACAGAAACAACATAACAAGGAAGACAACGTTCAGTCCATGGAAATATTTCCGTTATGACTTTCTTGGCCCATTTTCATGAATCTACCGTAAATTAGGATTTTTTCTTGACTTAAATTTCCTCGTAAGAAAGCATTACATAAGATAAGGACATTTCCTTAAATATAAGTTTGTTCTGAAATTATGTGACGCTTTTCAATTGAAGTTAAGATTCGTGAAACTGGGGTAGCCAGAAACAGTTGATTTGCATTTTTCCTGAAATGGTTGGTCATGTGAGATATACAGGTATAGCAGTTTGGTTAGGAAAAATACATCATTACATGTATACATATTTAAAAACTACATAACAATTACATTAAAAGTAGAGAGATAAAATTTGCGTAAATCAAAAATTTCTGCTGATTTATGACATGTGATTGCCATGGTTACCTAATGAAAAAATGCTAAAAATGCAAAAATACTGCTAATTCCAACCTAACACTACAGCTATTTATTTCCAAACACCTATCTTAAAATCAACAACACTGTCATGGTAACAAAATACTTACATTTCAGCAAATTCCAACTTGGAAATCCTTCATAACATGACCACATGTAAACACTATGAAAATTTTACTTGCTGTAAAGCTGGTTTTTGGCGCGAAGACACAGATTCGAGACTGCCCAAATAGTAATCTCCAACACAAAGCTAAAATATTATTCTGATACAAATGAAACCCCACATTGTCCACGTTAACTTGACAAGACCAATTTCAGCAAGAATTTATATTTTGAAATTTTGATTAAAACCTTTATAATGGGGTAATCTAACGAACAAAAAGATCAGCTATGGCCATACCGAGAAACTGTTTATTTCTACCTGGGGCCAGCTTCTTTAACTCTCTAACGAAGTTCTTTCATGAAAAGGCAGTCGATTGTAGAGCTGATATGCAAGAATTCGCCCATTGATTGAATGTATGTGAGAAAGATAAGAGAGGTATTCTATTGGTGTGTATTATGTACAATGAAGTAAGAAAACGTTAAGTCCAATTATCTCCCTTAGTTACTTCCGCTTTGTTTCATTGCGATAAACTTGACGTTCGATGGTGACCTATCCTCGATACCCCAGGGGTCACGCTAACTATCGCTCTCTGTGTAACCTCTGGAGTATCGAAGATGATGGAGCTGAGATTAAATGAAAGTCGAGAGCTCCTATACAACTGTTACGTTTTTGTATTGGCAGAACTACGTGCGATCCCTGTCTGAGAGTAAATGTTCATTTTTTCATCTTCATTCTCCTCTGTGTTCCGAAGCCACTTACAGTGTATGTTAACAGCATATCTAAATAAACGTTTACATTAACTGGTGTTATTAGTATACCTGTACTCGTTTGACTTTCGATGTCACGACTTGATGTCACGATGCTGTGTATATTTTAACATGAATCAATGGCAGGACAGGCGCTTCTGAATTAACCGCTTCCTGCAATCATTTGTCATAGAGCATCTCTAGTGAACGTTCCATGTCTAGACAGCTATATTACAGCTAGGGAGGAATTCAGACTATTTTTCGGAACTAAGACGAAAATAAAATCGAGCATAGATAATCGGAACCCTCCGGAATAAATCCCTGCTTACCCATCCTGTAGTATTTATTTACATGTCACGGGGGATTCGACAATCAAGGAGCTTATAATTACTTCCATTATCACGATTTTCTTGATAGATGTCAACAACTGACAGGAAAACTTTCGAGATATGCAGATTTACAATGATTATAGGGAAGTCGCCATCAAGCTCTCATCGAGAGAGGCTTGATTTCCTTAGACAACAGAAGTTAATAGGATTTATGTCTGGTTTTTTCGTTGTAATAAACCTAAAATTCTGACATTTCTTGGCTTGACCAACAGAATGACGAATCTGTTGATATATCGATATGACTTTCTTTTTTTGACAGTTGAGTGTAGAATTACCTGTAAGCCAATAGCGCACGAGGCTCAAAAAGTATGAAACGTGTAAATAAACCACGTGATTGTGTGCAGTAATTTTTAAAATGTAAATAAACCACGTGATTTTGTTCTGGAATTTATAGAATGTCAATAAATCACGTGATTGTATCCTGGAATTTATAGAATGTCAATAAATCACGTGATTATGTCCTTGAATTAATAAAATGTAAATAAACCACGTGATTATGTTCTGGAATTAATAGAAATGTAAATAAACCCTGTGATTGTGTCCTTGAATTAATAAAATGTAAATAAACCACGTGATTATGTCCTGGAATTAATATAATGTAAATAAACCACGTGATTTTGTTCTGGAATTAATAAAATGTAAACAAACCACGTAATTTAGTTCAAGGAATTAATAAAATGTAAATAAAACACGTGATTTTGTCCTGGAATTAATAAAATGTAAATTAAATATGTGATTTTGTCCTGGAATAATTAAAATGTAAATAAACCACGTGATTGTGTCCTGGAATTTATAGAATTTAAACAAATCACGTGATTTATTTTATTCGTGACTTTTTATGTGTACTTGGTAAATGATGTATATCACCGTATAGTATGCTTTCTTTGGTTACATTCTGATTGAACATTGGGGTCCTAATTACTCAATGTAGCAAACTTTATGAAAGTCCTGAAAAGATAATTGAATTAGTGACATATTTCGCTTGGCTATCAGATATTTAAAATATATTAAAAGACATAACAAAGAGACAAAAACAAGACCTGAAATTAATGTGTTAGTCTTAATGAGAACTCTTCGATCTGTTTCTAGGTCTTTTTTGTGATAAGTAAGTTTGATAAATTACTGTTTGCTGTCTATATTTTGCCACCTTAAGTACACTGTATATTGTAACTAATGTTGGATATCGTTCGATGAGGAAGCAAAATAAAGTTGTACATGTCTGAGATGGCGGTTGTTTTATGGTTTAACATTTTACAAACGACACACAAATGAATAGCACCTTGCAAGACTAATTAGAAAAACAGTAGAGAGCCAAATAAGGAATATCTTCACGGGCCTCCTTAATCTTCTGGAACATATGTAAGTGATTGTAATCCATGCGGAACATCGAAGATGAATAATAAACAACAACATACATCTGTTCCGTCCTTCTAGGACTCGTCGGTGATAAGGACCAACATTGGAGGCGACCAAAGAATATCCTAATTGGTCATCAATGTCAGAAACCTATTCATTTAATTTCATGATTTTCAAAATTCAAAGATTTCAAAAGAATGTCAAGTACATGTCTATATTCTGAAAGAAAACAAACTGGATGATTTTATTTAAAGTTTATATATCTTATTTATAAACTAATAATTATTAGTTTATCTAATTACCTCAAATAGTATGAGTCAGTTTTGTGTTTACCAAGCCAAAACAGCAACAATAAAACACACACATATTCCAAAATTTGTCGTGATATTTTTCAAAACATCACGAATAATAAGAAAACCTCGATTCCTTTAGCTAGTGAATCAGCTGTAATCAACCAGTCGAACTGGTGCCGAGACCCTGCACACCTTCCCTCGGAATCTAACAGTTTTTTTTCAGGTTATGTTAAGCGCATTTTTGATAGGTTTGATATTTTCGTGTCATGGACCTATGGAACCTACATCATACCTATTTAATTGAAACATTTAACAGTGGAATCATACATGATTAGTCAAATAGCTTATTAAACCGCATCACATAGATATTCCGCTCTAGGACTCAACAGTTATCTTTAGAGCAATTTAATTACAGTCGTAGCTAAAGCCAGGCGACTGAAGAATATTGGGAACTAATGTCAAAATACCGATTGGATACTAAACTGACACCTTTTTCAGTAAATTTAATTATTTCTAGAATTTTATGCTTTAAAGTCATCATTCAAAATAATTTTTATTAGACCTACAACAAAATAATTACTGAAGTCGAAAAATGGTTCTCAATCGAACGCACCGCTTAAGCGTTAGTATGATTTTGATTGCGGCAAATTAAAGATGGCTGCATCGGCAGACCACAGAATGCAGGCCCCACAAGGGCAGCAAAATGCTCCATCACAACAACAGCAGCAGCAGTTAACGGATTCTGATCCGGTTCATCGAGTTAAGATTCTTGTACCAAGGTTAAAAGAGTCACTTGCGGTAAGATTTTGCAGCATATACGTCAAATCATACCCCGTTTCCATCTTCGATACTTCAGGGATCACGCTAACTATCATTCTTTGCACTCTTGGAACATTTCTTTGCAAAATTGAAGGTTCCTTGTGTGACATCTTGTGGACAACACGGACAGACTAGTTTGATCCTTTGATGTACATCAAACGAATTTCGAGGTCCATAATGGTATGTTATGAAGATTGTTGTAGATAATTTGACATTTGCAATCTTCAAAGGAGCATACATACATATCAGACTCTGACGCGTCATGTTTCTTCCCGTGAAACCCACTCTAAACAAATAAAATTACTCCCCTTGTGCCTTCAGTTTTTTCCATGAAATGTTCCAGGGGTACACAGAGCGAAAGTGGGTGTAATCCTGGAGTATCGAGGATGATCCTGTATCTTCATAATCTTGTCCTTTCCGAAAACAACATTTTACAGTGAACATTAATATTGTGAAGTCATCATGATCTAGTGGCGAAGAAAAGGAAGGGTGAAGTGATTTGCACAATCATTTAGAAGGGAAAGCCTTAAAAGAGCATAGCATTTGTTAACATAAATATATTGCATCTGGCAGCTCAAGCAGACACTGAGTCCCTGTAAGTTAGTTTCAAATACACATTTACGTGACATGCATATATGCTGTTCAAGTTCAATGTAATGGAAACAGTGATCCTTGACTGAATTGCTTATAACTTATTTTTGATTGCTTGCATTATTTTGTCAAATACTGCACCACAGATTTAAAACTGATTCATGAATTTACCCTTCATTCGATACTTTTTTGATGTTGAGACTATGGTATAGCACAAATTGTCCTGAAAACTTCAACCTGTACATGTACATACTGGCACAAGTGTTTAACAAGAGGTCCATAGGGCTTGTATCATTAGACTGACTCTGTTTGGCTGAAATCACTTTATCTAAATTAAAGGAAAAGAAATTCTAAAGGTGGGGAACAGATCACTGAGTAAAGTCCAGGTTAATTAATCAATGATTGTGAACTTGTAACCAGATGATCTTGATTTCTCATTTTACTCATGAAATAATCATGGTCCTTTCATTAATACAGAGATTTATTCAGGAATGTCTTGTTGTTACAAATGTGGAAAAGTGGAACAATTAAAAAAAACAACCCAAAATGCTTAGGGTAATTTTCAACACTCAGCCTGTTTTTGTATTTATTTGTAAACATGTATAAAATATAAACACCTTCTAACCGGTCTTTAGTCTCCTTACAGGATTATTGGACCATTTTATTGTATTTGATAATAGTTTGTAACTTCGTCTTTCAGAATTTGATCAAAGTAGCAGGCCAGTCATTACGCCAGAATGCCATGACAGATGATGGATTGTAAGTACCATTAAAATTAATTTCCATTTATACTCATTCAGAATCCTGACACATATCAATAATTGATAACTTTTATTAGTATATGTTAATGAGTAACATAAAAGAATTTTTAAGGAATAATTGATTTTTTTTTCATTACACTGTACGTATGTACCAAATAAATAGTGGATTAATTTACAAATCAAAAAGAAAATAACACCTTAGATATTGTGGATTTTTTATAACATAAAATATATGCACTTGAAAGATGAACACTGCCATTTTAGGAATTTTGGAAAAATCCCATGGTTTGGGGTTATCTTCTGAACTGAAACATAGTTAACAACTGGGTGGACCCCTATATGCCCATCCCATGTCAAAGAAGTATTCATGATTTAATGTTTCAAAATGAATAAGATTAACAAAAAAAGAGTCAGCATCAGTTCAGAGTGAGTTGGTTGATAAGTAGGGTGCTTCGCATTAGGTGTGGATACTGAAGGGTATGCAAGGCAATGAAATAAAACAGCAAAATTTCTCCAAGTAAGTTTCATTCACAACACATACCAAGTGTCAGCTGTGAGAGGGATATTTATACAATAGATATAACATGTACTGATGACACTTGGTGTGTTTTGTGATTGAAACTTACTTGGATTAAAATGAATACTAAGATGTAAATGATTATATTGAATAAAAAAATGTTTTGGAACATGTAATATCACTTTTGAAGTATTGATTTTTGTCTTACATGATATTAAAGTTTCAAAAATCATTTTACTTGGGAATTAACAAAAAATCATTTATTACCAATCTCTTGAATGAGTTCCTGAATATCATCAATATCTTCTGATCCTTTAAGGTTTTATTTTAACAATATTGGAAATGCATAATTAATTAGTTACGATGAAGCAGTGGCTGTTCTCAAATTGCAGTTCATTCATCTATCAGTCCAGACTCTTAAAAAAGTCTTCATTTCTTCACAACCAGATTTATATGTCATTCATCCATCAGTCTTCTTTTCTTCACAACCAGATATATATGTCATTCATCCATCAGTCCAGACCCTTAAAAAAGTCTTCATTTCTTCACAACCAGATATATATGTCATTCATCCATCAGTCTTCTTTTCTTCACAACCAGATATATATGTCATTCATCCATCAGTCCAGACCCTTAAAAAAGTCTTCATTTCTTCACAACCAGATATATATGTCATTCATCCATCAGTCCAGACCCTTAAAAAAGTCTTCATTTCTTCACAACCAGATATATATGTCATTCATCCATCCATCAGTCCAGACCCTTAAAAAAGTCTTCATTTGTTCACAACCAGATATATATGTCATTCATCCATCAGTCTTCTTTTCTTCACAACCAGATATATATGTCATTCATCCATCCATCAGTCCAGACCCTTAAAAAAGTCTTCATTTCTTCACAACCAGATATATATGTCATTCATCCATCTGTCCAGACCCTTAAAAAAGTCTTCATTTCTTCACAACCAGATATATATGTCATTCATCCATCAGTCTTCATTTCTTCACAACCAGATATATATGTCATTCATCCATCCATCAGTCCAGACCCTTAAAAAAGTCTTCATTTCTTCACAACCAGATATATATGTCATTCATCCATCCATCAGTCCAGACCCTTAAAAAAGTCTTCATTTCTTCACAACCAGATATATATGTCATTCATCCATCAGTCCAGACTCTTAAAAAAGTCTTCATTTCTTCACAACCAGATTTATATGTCACTACAATAAACTACGTTTATGTTGTACGCATTACTCAAGATTGATTGGAATGACACACAGCACAGTGACATTTGCATCCACTTAGGTCAAGGTCATTTGAATGTCAAATTCTCATTGATATAACTACAAATTGACATTACATGTGTCAGCATAAAACATTTACATTAATAAGCATTGCTCCCAGACAGTGGTCAGCATAAAACATTTACATTAATAAGCATTGCTCCCAGACAGTGGTCAGCATAAAACATTTACATTAATAAGCATTGCTCCCAGACAGTGGTCAGCATAAAACATTTACATTAATAAGCATTGCTCCCAGACAGTGGTCAGCATAAAACATTTACATTAATAAGCATTGCTCCCAGACAGTGGGTTATTGATCACTTCAACATTGATCAGGTCAAGGTCGCAGTGTGATGTTGCTATTGATCATTTCAACATTGATCAGGTCAAGGTCGCTGTGTGATGTTAAGTTAAATATCAGGCTTGCATCACTTCATTACTGGTGATACCTGAATGAAATTTCAAATGTCCTGGTTTTATGCTGTGTGCTGCTCACTTTAACCTTGATTCAAGGTCAAGGTCATCAGCCAAATTTAGCAATACATCACCAGGCTGCACCACCTAAAATCAGAATTACTGATATAAATATTCTTTTGCTGTTTAAGAAGGAGAGAAACAGGCCATGTTGTTACTGTTTCATCACTTTAGGGTGATTTTGTATTGCAGACGTCCAGCAGACAGCCAACAGCAAAAGTTTGAGAAAAGTCTGGAAGAGTTTTACTCTCTTTGTGATCAAATTGAGTCCAATTTGGTAGGTATATATAGACATATGTTATTTGACTACTAAGATATCATTTAATCATTACAGCTGTTGTATAAATAAATTCTTATACCACACATGAAATAAATTGAACAAAATAATTTTGAATGGTGAAAATGATGGACTTTGACTTGAAGAGCACTTCACTTTCTTGGAAATAAAAACATCCACTGAGTAGCTCACACTTGTTCCTGTGTTTTTCTAAGGATTTCTATCGATTTCTTGGTTTTAAGATAATAAACCTGTCAATTACTTGTTATGGTTTGTAATAAATATTTCCACATATTTCTAAAAATGTCAGTTTTGCATATTCAGTAGGGGCATATCATTCCAGGTCATATCATTATGTCCTTACTGATGTTGTGAACACAACACACCTTGGTACAGAATAGATAAATTCTTTATCATTATGTCCTAACTGATGTTGTGAACACAACACACCTTGGTCTAGAACAGATCAATTCTTTATCATTATGTCCTAACTGATGTCTTTATCATCATGTCCTAACTGATGTTGTGAACACAACACACCTTGGTACAGAATAGTTCAATTCTTTATCATTATGTCCTAACTGATGTTGTGAACACAACACACCTTGGTACAGAACAGGTCAATTCTTTATCATCATGTCCTAACTGATGTTGTGAACACAACACACCTTGTAACAGAATAGGTCAATTCTTTATCATCATGTCCTAACTGATGTTGTGAACACAACACACCTTGTTACAGAACAGGTCAATTCTTTATCATCATGTCCTAACTGATGTTGTGAACACAACACACCTTGGTACAGAATAGATAAATTCTTTATCATTATGTCCTAACTGATGTTGTGAACACAACACACCTTGGTCTAGAACAGATCAATTCTTTATCATTATGTCCTAACTGATGTCTTTATCATCATGCCCTAACTGATGTTGTGAACACAACACACCTTGGTACAGAACAGGTCAATTCTTTATCATCATGTCCTAACTGATGTTGTGAACACAACACACCTTGGTACAGAATAGTTCAATTCTTTATCATTATGTCCTAACTGATGTTGTGAACACAACACACCTTGTTACAGAACAGGTCAATTCTTTATCATCATGTCCTAACTGATGTTGTGAACACAACACACCTTGGTACAGAATAAGTAAATTCTTTATCATCATGTCCTAACTGATGTTGTGAACACAAATTCAAGGTTGTTGTATATAGTACTTCTTCCATCGATGTTAGTTATCTTTCGAAAATGAGAAAAAACACTTGTGAAAGTTCCTGTTTTTGGTGACTTTTAAAAATAACTTTGGTAAAAGACCTACATAGAAACAATCACTTGTTGTAACCATTATATATTAATGACCACAAATATTTAATTTAAGTGTTATTTTCATCCAAATCAAGAAATTACAGTACTGTAATGGATTTTAATAGTCCTTTCTTGTTGTAAATGTAGAGGTTGTTTTTTTTTTGCATTATATTCGAAGTCAGAGTAGGTTTAAATTTCTTATGAACATATTTGCTATTTCAGAGACTTGCTTTAGAAATTCATCAACAGAATGCTGACAGTCAGAAATTCATCCCATTTACGGTCAACGTCCCGAAAGAAAACAATCAGTGGCCGGAAACTCCTACAGCGGTACCTTACACTCAGTTCCTCTCCATGGTTAAACAACAAATCAACTGTGCTAAGGAAATTCATGATCTCCTCATGGACTGTTCTAAGAAAATATCAGACTGAGAGGGGGGACATTTTGTCCTTGCTCAATAATATACCAGGAGAAAGTCTGAGTTTCAAAAACTATTTTGAGCAGAAGTTCTGATAAAGTAGTTAAATCTTGTCTTTTAATGATTTGAACAGAGGTACTAACATACACAACTGTTTTTTATGCTGACCTTCAAGTTGTGATGATCATCGTAGAAAGGTTATCAAAAATCGAAATAGACTGGAAAGTCTAATTCTTCATTTTCTAGTTTTTTTTCGTAATTATTATGTTTTTGCAATTTTACTCGATGTATGAAGCATAATAACTTTTTTCTTGTTTTATGCTATCATTGAAAATAGCTAAAAGATTGTTTTTTGAAAATAGCAGTTATTATAGTACATTGTATATGGCTATGTATAAGTTTAGAAAAGAAGTGGTATGATACAATGAATGTTTAACTGTTTTGTATCATTCCTGTACATATTTTTAGCTGTTTTCCACTGAATCCAGGGTTTTTCTTTACTTGAGGGTATATGTACACACTTTCCTTAGGCTTTTATGTTTGAGTACAAAAAGTGTGAGTTTTAAAGTTGTTGGGTCAAGGTCACTGTCACTATTGTTAAAAAAATCTTTATCAGCACTCTAGTGACTTCATTCCAAGTGGGAAAAAAAACTCACACACTCACAGATGACCATAACACAACATATTGGCCAGTGATTCAGATTGGCCCAGCTTTCTTTAGGACAGATGTCCTAAAGACTGAAATTTTCTAAGGCCCATTTTGTCCGAAAGAACAAAACATTTAGGCCACAGTCAAACGATAAACAATTATTTTTATGCACAAGACAGTCACAGAAGTAGAGTACATCAGCCATTTAAATTGTTGTAACCATTTTTGATGAAATTTTCTGGCTGTCGTGGTTTTATTTTCTTATTGTTTGGTAATTATAATTGTTTCGTCCTGTTCCGGTGTTGGTCTAATAACACCGCAAGAAAATAACATTATTCAATGGAAAATTTATCGGCCATTTAGTCTGAAAACCTGAAATACTTCCGGCCTTTATGTCCCAAATTCATATTTTTTTTCGGCCATTGGCCGATGGCCGGGCCCAATCTGAAACACTGTATTGGTGATGTATTTGTTAACAATTTGCATTGTGTATCAGATTATGTGTTTAATTTGAGTTGTTTGTTTGCTGGCTGTATTGCCATGAGAACAGGGCCATTTTGAAGAAGTGTCTCCTTGTATGGTGTCCTCCACAAGGACACAACAACAGACCAGTCCATTTCTCAGCTTTCTGAGATACACACTTCCATGGTGAGATATTATCAGATCAAGCTCCTCAGATCTCCACATGTGGTTACATAGGCAAGTGCCAAATCAACTGAGATATTGAGGCTCCTCTGGGGTGAATCTGTATGTATGGATGTATGTGATGACAGAGAAATGGTGAAACTATGTGTATATGAATGAGTGTGTGATTGTACATGTTAATATAACTATTTATAGTTATGACGCAATCATTAAACATGTAAAATTGACCATGATTAGTGTTTTTTTTTTTTTTTCAAAATTGGGAAAACTCCAGACACATACACCATTCCATATCCAAAACTATTTTTACACGTATAATTAAGACAATCTATGTACACGTATTTGACTTATTTTTATATACATGCGTTTCGATGGGACAAATTAAAGTATGGCATTATCTGTCCGTTTGTCACAAACTTCTATTTGACGGTGATCTCTTCCGACACAGAAATCTACTGTTTATCCAAGAAACGTGTCCGACACAGAAATCTACTGTTTATCCAAGAAACCTGTCCGACACAGAAATCTACTGTTTATCCAAGAAACCTGTCCGACACAGAAATCTACTGTTTACCTAATAAACCTGTCCGACACAGAAATCTACTGTTTATCCAAGAAACCTGTCCGACACAGAAATCTACTGTTTACCTAAGAAACCTGTCCGAAACCTGTCCGACACAGAAATCTACTGTTTACCTAAGAAACCTGTCCGACACAGAAATCTACTGTTTATCCAAGAAACCTGTCCGACACAGAAATCTACTGTTTATCCAAGAAACCTGTCCGACACAGAAATCTACTGTTTACCTAAGAAACCTGTCCGACACAGAAATCTACTGTTTACCTAAGAAACCTGTCCGACACAGAAATCTACTGTTTATCCAAGAAACCTGTCCGACACAGAAATCTACTGTTTATCCAAGAAACCTGTCCGACACAGAAATCTACTGTTTATCCAAGAAACGTGTCCGACACAGAAATCTACTGTTTATCCAAGAAACCTGTCCGACACAGAAATCTACTGTTTATCCAAGAAACCTGTCCGACACAGAAATCTACTGTTTATCCAAGAAACCTGTCCGACACAGAAATCTACTGTTTATCCAAGAAACAGTCCGAACAGATCTACTGTTTATCCAAGAAACCTGTCCGACACAGAAATCTACTGTTTATCCAAGAAACCTGTCCGACACAGAAATCTACTGTTTATCCAAGAAACCTGTCCGACACAGAAATCTACTGTTTATCCAAGAAACCTGTCCGACACAGAAATCTACTTTTTATCTTCCGTTTTCTTGATGTTTTGTTATTGCTTTATTTTTATAGATTTCACGTGATATTAGCCGTGTTCAGTATAGCCTTTTTCCCAAAAAGGGCTCTATCCCGATTTATCCACTTTTTAAAATAGCATTCATAATGTTGTTTAAAGAATTTTAGTCTATTTCAGATTAATTAACCTGTGGTTACCTGTGTTTTACCTGTGGTTACCTGTGATTATCTGTGTTTTACCTGTGTTTTACCTGTGGTTACATGTGTTTTACCTGTGTTTTTACTTGTGTTTTACCTGTGGTTACCTGTGTTTTTACCTGTGTTTTACCTGTGGTTACCTGTGATTATCTGTGTTTTACCTGTGTTTTACCTGTGGTTACATGTGTTTTACCTGTGTTTTTACCTGTGGTTACCTGTGTTTTTACCTGTGTTTTACCTGTGGTTACCTGTGTTTTACCTGTAGTTACATGTGGTTACCTATGACATATAGCCTATATTGGAAGCCGATATCATCATGAAATAATAATATTATGACACTGAAAATAATCAATATAATAAAGATATATTTTCATTATTATATTTGTTGGAGATAAGTTTTTTTAAACATTTTTTATACATGATATCTATAAGAAAAAGAATGTTAAATAATCATGCTGAAGTATAAACTAGTATGCAGATATTTATATGAAAAAAAATTAATATGTATTAATTTTTATTTGATATATCTAAATTACTTAAGTAATCACATCATAATGTAATGCTCTACTTTTAATTATGGTTAAATGTGTTTAGTTAATTACCAAACCTCCATACAAATACATTCGTTTACTAATTAGAGGTGATGTATACACTTACCTACACGCTACTACCCGACAAAACCAAGCAGCTGTATCACCATTACTGACTCTTCTAAACATGATCACAGCGGACTTCAACCTTCCTCTAGATGTCCTATAAATCATTGTTGACCTCGAGACAGCAGGCCACAGCGTCTAGCGCCAAGTGACCCCAGGAATGGCCACCGAGGAATGTTTTTACCACTGTACTCAATGTATCTAGAGAAAAAAAACAGCAAACGAACCGGACTTCTTCAAAAACTTTGCTAGGACAAAAATGACATCAAAAGACTAGTTCGCTTTACCAATTTTTCTGGTCTATGATTCCTGCCAACGAATGTAATATTGTATAAAATATCAGAACAATTTCTTCATGTTTTCACTGTCAGTGGAATAGATGTTCTTACTAGAAATACATACAACTGACTGTAACTGGTTTGCCATTGTCTTCATAAAACTTTTTTTTTGTATATCTTATAAAAAGTGGGCAAACCTTTCTCCCAAAAGTCTTAACAGGTAACAGGTTCTTTAACTGTTAAAAAACATCAAGAAAGTACCATCATGTCAACATAATCTCAATCCAGTCTCAAACTCCATAAAACAGCACACTACCAAGTCTATACAAGGTTACTTCGGACAACAAGGATATTTTTTTTCAGCAGGATAAGTTTCCTTCAGACAAGTAAACATGTCGATTTCAGAGCCATGTCTAGACAAATTGCACCAAGATCTTTCTACATAAAATAACATTTTGTACTTTGGGTTTATATCACTTTACACTGAAATGACACCGGGGATTCAAAGCGAAACAAAAATCCGACTGATACGCGCAGTGGAGCATGTAAAAGGGACTATAAATATTTTAATTTAGATCAATATATGGATCAGTAACACTTTCATCTTCAATGCACGACGATCAGTTTCAAAGACGTATTTATCGATAAAGTATGGAATGCTTGACAAACTCACATACGCAGAATACATCTGTTTTTATTTGTAAAAGTAATCCAAGATCATAGATCAGTTGTTTGTAAACGTCCATATGTGACTATAGACTCTATAGTGACAGCCAGGCGGTTAACATTAGTACATGGAATTTGTGATTTGTAACAAGACGTAGGCGTTCTAAATATGATGTTGTAGTCTTCATATCGTTAATGAGCTTTAATAGTGTAATGATATGTCGGTGACATTAATGATTGTACTCCAGAGTTCAACAGAATGACACCTCTTTTCTATGTCCTGGGAATTTTATAAATGATATCTAAAACCCCAAGTGTAACCAAGCGTCATCCGTTACATCAAAAATAAAGGATAGAACAACACAAGAGAAATGGTAACATCATGAGGTGAAATAAATTTTTCCTAGATTTTTTTTTGTATTGCCCTATTGTTTTATTCCTACTGTACAGTGTGCTTCGTTATTTCGAAATCGGCGGTACCATTGGAAAACTTCGAGTTATAAGAGAATTCGATTTAAACGAGATCGAATGTTTGGCCGGGACAAATAAAATGCGCAGAATTAAACAGTTTCTTCATGTTATGCTAGATCGAGATAACGAGGTTCGACTCTACTTGGTGTTGTTATCGTTGTACTTTTTCAGGGTGTAAAAATATTTCTTTTATTCATATCTTGCTCTAGTTTTATCGAATGTATGTTAGAACTGAGATATTGTTGATTTGTCAGTATTTTGATTATTGTGATTGTTAATTATATAGGAAAAGATCGTCATATAGAATATTTACACTCCAACTGTAGACTCAGATATATGTTATAATGTATCATGAGATTTAATATATATGCATGTTTACAATGAATTGAATTAAGAAATTATTAACCTCAAATTATTCCTATACATTGTAGTATATCGAAGACTTTTAATCATACTGATAATGAAGCTGTTTCATGTTTTCGACGTCCATCTATTTAACACTTTCCAATATGTGTTGAGGAAATTCAGAAATGCAGAAATCAATTTAAAAAAAAAAACTATCATATACAATTATTAAATTTTTTACAATAAACTGTAACCACATTCATCATAAGTCGATGTTTGACATTTTACATGATACGTATCTGATAAAACGGTGCAGGATCGAACCAATCTGGTACATATTCAGATACACGTACCTTAGATCTTGTGCCTTTATCTTATATGCTGTGTAAGAAAGTAAAACAGGTGCTTTTTGCGTTTTGTATGATAATTAAGAAAATATTACTTTAGCTTCATGTTTCAGTTATGTTTATGTATTTAAAACTGAGCGAATAATATCTCACCAAAGAGTAAAAAAACTCAGTCGCTCTAGGCAGTAAGTCCAGACGATAAAATAAGAAACAACGCTACAGATACAGTTAGTTATATTGATTTCACACGAAGAAAGGGGGATTATTGGGCAAATTTTGACGAGAATAATATAAACGCTATTTACATGTACATAGCAGTTCACTAACAATAACAATCTTTAAAATCTCGCCGCTTATATGCAACTTCAGCTGTCCTAACAGTATGATAAATTGTCACTTTGTAACGTTGCCGCAGCTATCGTACATATGTGCACACATATAGAACAGCTAGTGTCATTCATCACATGGGTGATGCAGCATTCCATCAGTTAGTGTATGCATGTGAAAATTTTCGGGTGGGATGGAGAAGAGGTAGCGCACTCGTCTTTCGCCAATGCGTCTTGAGTTCGATTCCCGGAACGGACATGGAATGGTTTGGGTCACCTGGCCGACAACGTTAGTTTATCCTGGGTTCTCCAGTTTCTTTCCTCAGTAAGCTCATTTGCTCGCTTTCGTCCGGACCATTAAAAGTGATTGAAATAAGTTGAAATAACTTATTTTGCGATAGTTGTGAAATAAATAATAATAGTTATAAAAACTAAAATGTAGGCGTCGTCAAATTTCATTGCAGTTAAATTCCAAATAAAAGATGCAACACCGATCCTCTCGTTTTGAAATGAAATGAAATTACTCCAACAAGTCCTATGCCAATAGGTCAGTACAAGGTTTGATAAACAACTAGATGGAGACGAAAATCAACTGCAACAGGAAACGCTATTTAAACTTTCTCAAACAACGATGTAAATAACAGAGCTTTGATAATATTACATTATATGACATCAAA